GATTTGGAAAGAGAAAGGGAAAAGTTAAGTGAAATGTGAATAAAATATACTTATATTTCATCTAATTTCACACTTTTTCCCTTTTTATATCTAAATCTCTCAACCAAACACAGCATTAGTTTCTGCTTGAACCGCTGCCTCCAGCTAGAGGACAAGTTTGGCTCTTGTTGTTTTGATTGTGGGGGAGCTCTGTGGGGTCCCAGGTATATTTTCTCTTCCTTTTTACATAGATTCTAGTTTTTCAGTTCACAAGTAAACAAGCATATGCAACCTTCTTTGATTGGGAACAGCTAAAAGGCCACATTTCCAACCCCACCACACCCCCCCAAACTTGTCTTTCTTGAAATTTTTTTAGATTTGTGTAAAAAAAATTTACATTTCTTAAAAAACTCTGTTAGTAAGAAAGTTTTTAATGTAATATTTTGAAATAAAAACTCTTTTAGTAAACACGTTTCTTAAAAAATTATCACCTTGTTTGTTTTCACTTTTCAAAAAGCACTTTTCAAAAAATTTTATTTTCTTATTTTTCGTTTTTTTTTTTGTTTTTACTGAATTTTTTTAATATTTTAAGCAATTTTTTTTATTTTTTAGACACACCTAACATAAATATACCTAAAAAGTAAAAAAATTATAAAAAAAAATCTTTTAAAAATTCACTAAATACCAAAAATATAAAAAAATACAAGAATTCAGTACATTTTTTGTATTTTTATGTATTTATTAATTTTTTAAAATATTTTTTCACAATTTTTTTACTTTTTAGATACATCTAAGTAAGATGCATTTAAAAAAGTAAAAAAATATTTAAAATTTAAAAAATATTCACTGAAAACAAAAAAATACAAAAATTAAAAAAATCAATTTTTAAAAAACTTAATGCAAAAATCTCAAACAAAACACCTGTATATTATTAAGAACGTTATTACTACCTTTGACATGAATACGCATTTTTAATGCATAAGAAGGCTTTTACCTTTTTTTTTTCTTTTTGTCAAAGAAGAAGAAATTAGTAATTTTTTTACTTTTTAGATACATCTAAGTAAGGTGCATTTAAAAAAGTAAAAAAATATTTAAAATTTTAAAAATATTCACTAAAAACAAAAAAATACAAAAATTAAAAAAATTAATTTTTAAAAAACTTAATGCAAAAAACTCAAACAAAACACCTGTATATTATTAAGAACGTTATTACTACCTTTGACATGAATACGCATTTTTAATGCATAAGAAGGCTTTTACCTTTTTTTTTTCTTTTTGTCAAAGAAGAAGAAATTAGTAATTACTCTTTGTAATTAAATTAAAAACGTGAGTACATATAAGAGCCCTTCCCATCAAATTTTTTTTTCTTTAATTAAAAAAAAATCTGGTTTACAACTTTTTTACTAAAAAAAATTCAAGGTACTTTTTTTTTAGAGATTTTTATTGGTAAGTCCAATTTAGAAGTGTTTTAACCCAAGAAGTCCATGAAGAAATTTTTTAACCCATTTAGTCCCATGTATGTATAATTTTATTCCATAAAGTCCATTTTCTTGATTCACACTATTTTCTTGGACACTTATGCCCTTATATTTAATTTTGATACCCTTATAAAAAAAATTTCAACGATTAGCAATTTAATGATGTGAATATTCATATTTTAAAATTCATATTTGTAGGAATGTAAATTGGCCCGTGGGCGGCCCGAAACCCGCCTGTGAATATTCACATTGACATATTAACATTCACATTGATAAGAGTGTAAAATTGGCCCGCAGCCCGTGGGCGGCCTGAAGCCCGACCGCAACCCGAGGCGGGTTTGGCCCGACCCGTGACAATGTGAAAATTCACATTGACATGTTAACATGCACATTGATAGGAGTGTAAAATTAGCTCGTGCCCCGTAGCTGCCGGAAACCCGTCCACGGCCCGTGGTCGGCCTAGGGCGGGCCCGGCTCGGTCTGTTGACAATGTGAATATTCACATTGACATGTTAACATTCACATTAATAAAAGTGTACAATTGGCCCGTGACCCATGGACAGCCCGAAGCCCGACCTCGGGCCGGGGCGGGCCCAGCCCGTTGGTAATGTGAATATTCACATTGATATGTTAACATTCACATTGATAGGAGTGTAAAATTGGCCCGCAGCCCGTGGGCGACCCGAAGCCCGATCGCAACCCGAGGCGGGCTTGGCCCGACCCGTGACAATGTGAATATTCACATTGACATGTTAACATTAACATTGACATTGATAGGAGTGTAAAACTTATCCGCTGCCCGAAGCTCGCCCGCGACCCGGGGTAGGCTCGGACTCAAACCCGGGCCACCCTGGGCCGCCCATGGGACGCGAGTCAATTTTACACTCTTATCAATATGAATGTTAACATATCAATGTGAATATTCACATTGTTAACAGGTCGGGCCGGGCCAACCTCGGGCCGCCCACGGGCCGTAGGCGTGTTTCGGGCAACCACGGGGCACGGGCTAATATTACACTCTTATCAATGTGAATGTTAACATGTCAATGTGAATATTTACGTTGTCAACGGACCGAGCCCACGTCGGCCCGGGGTCGGGCTTCGGGCTGCCCATGGGTTACGGGCTAATTTTACACTCTTATCAATGTTAATATTAATATGTCAATGTGAATATTCACATTGTCAACGCGCCGGGCCGGGCCTATTTTTTTGGCTTGTGGGCTGGCCCGACCCGACTCGAATTTTTCCGGGCACCCACGAGGATCGACATGAGCCGAGCCTCTACACATTGACAATATAAACATTTACATTGACGGTGTGAACATTCGCATTAAGGGTATTTTGGTAATTATGTCACCCACAGGACTTATTGAAACATAAGAAAATAATGTGAACTAAATGGAACATAAGTAGATGAAAAGAGTATTTTGGTCTTTTTATCTCAAATTGGACCTAATGGAATAGTCAAAAAGAATATGGGTTGGATGGAATAAAACTCTTAGAAAATGAATTTATAAAAAAAGCTCCCTTTTTTTTACTCATTTTTTAGGGCTCGGGTTTGAATTTTTACAGCAGTGATTTAGACCCCCTCAAACTTCAACCCCCACCACCCCACACACACGTGGCGGGTGGTGATTGGAGGAGAAGAAAAAAAAGAAAAAAGAAAAAGAAAAAATGACCAATCAAAAAAGAAAGGGGGTCAAAGGGGGTGGGGGAAAGGGGGTCCCGATCTTTATTCGGATTTTTATTGTTCTTTGAAACTCTGGTAATAAGAAATATTTTATGTATTGAAAAATTCTCGTAGCAAACAAGTTTTTTTTTTAAAAAAAAAATTGCAGGAAAAAATGTATTTTGAAAAACTTAGTAAGATAGATTTTAATTTGTATTGAGAAATTTTCTTAGCAAGAATTTGGTTTTTTTGACAAGATATATAAAAGACGTAATTTGAAAAACTCTATTAGTAACAAAGTTTTTTTTAAAAAAAAACTCTGTTAGTAAAAAAGTTTTTAATGTAATGTTTTGAAAGAAAAATTAATGTTTCTTAAATTTTTAATGATTTTTAAAAAAGGTGAGTCCGGAAAAAACGTAATTTGAAAAAGAAAAATGTTTGAGAGCACTAAAAAAAGATCACTAAAGGGAGCACTAATGATGTGGCAGGAGGTTCTGCCCACTTTCTATGTCTTGTTTTTATTTTTTTATTTTTTTTACCATTCTCAATATATTAATGCTATTAATAATGTATTTTTTAGTAGTCTAAATCATTATTATTTGAAAAACTCTTATAGTAGAAAAGTTTTTAATAAATTCTATTTCTATACACGGTTTTGTTTAGAAAAAGCAATTAATAACTGAAAACGTAATTATTGACAAGGTTTTCTGAAAAACTATACTACCCAAAAAAAAGGTTTTTTTAGTAATAAAATAATATTATTTTTGTAAACATATTGAGCCTCCGTTTGGGAGGTGGGTTGGCTTTTTGGCTTTTTGGCTTTTTGACTTTTTTGGCTATTTTAGCCTGGGCTAAAAAGCTTGGTTTGGGAAGGGCTTTTTGGCTTTTTGGCTTTTTTGGCTTTTTTTGTGAGAGAAGAATGTAATGATTATGGGTTGGATGTGATGTTTTGTTTGTTATGGCTAAAATAGCCTATTTTGTTTTTTGTGGCTAAAATAGCCAAAAAAGCTTGAAAACCATCTTGCCAAACAGAGGCTGAGAATCACATTTTTAAAAGAAAAAGAGAATCACATGAGAGAGAGAAAATAAAGTATAAGCACATGAGAGATGTAAATATGTTTGTGATGAGATATAAATAAAATATATATATTGATAATTTTTTTTTCTTTCTCCCATCTATACGTAATTCTCCTTTTAAATTTTTTTAGATAAATTATAAATATAATTTTTGAGATTTGTTTAAATAGAGATTGTCTTCTGTAATTTGAAAAATTATAAATTTCTCTTTATTAAAAATTTTTATTTATCAGAATTAACCAAGAAAATGAAATTCATAATTACTTTCTTATACAATAATAAAATTACATAAATTATTAATTGAAACATATTTTTAATATTATTAAAAATTGTTAATTAACTTGATGATTTATTAATAAAATAAGCGATTTGTTATGAAATTAAAAATCTCAAAAAGTAAAACGTAATTTTTAAAATCACAAAAAATGATTTGTATTTTAATCAAATCTTAAGAATGTATTTATAATTTACTAAATTTTTTTTCTTTTTAATTCACCATTTATCCTAAGAGTAAAGATTAAGAGCTCTAATAATAGAGTTTTAAAGAAAGTTTTAGTAATGTAGTAAAGAGTGGGGCTTAATGTGATGTGATATATGTATCTATATTTTTATTTTTTATTATCTTACCACATCAGTAAAACTCTCTTTAAAATTTTAATATTAAAACTTTCTATCATTATTGTTATCGTAGTATGAGAATAAACTAAAATTCCACGCTATTTAGGAATAACGTGATAAATTTGCCCTGTTAGCCAAACGGGGCCTCAGTCGTCTTAAATGACCGACAAACGGAGTTACGCTGTCATCAGTCAAAAACAGAGAGGCATATTACTCTTCTTCCCCAATCTTCTTCTTCTTCTTCATCTATATATATATATATATAAAATATAATATAAGAGGGAAAGTCTTTTTGTTCTTGATTTGAAGACTAGGGTTTTTGATTTTACTGATCAAGATCAACTAACTATACGATTCGACAATGGCGAAACTAAGAAACACTTCTCGACATCAAGCCAAGAGATTGTCCACCGTCACTCTTGTCTTCGCCATGCTTTTTATGCTAACCTTAGTCCTCTTGATGCTTCTCGCTCTAGGAATTCTCTCTCTTCCTGTTAGCTCCGACGATTCTCCTCCGATGGGCAATCGCATCAACTTTGGCCGCAAAGCTGGGATTTTGTATGTTTTCCTAATAATTAGTTTCATTTCAATTGGAATTTCTGATCTTTATTTATTTATATATTGAATTGTTTGTATTTGTTTGTTTGGTGTTGCAGGGGAGAGAGTGAGAGTGAGAGTGAGAGTGAGAGTGATGATGATGATGATGGTTTGGGGAAGAGAGGAGAGCAGTGGACTGAAATCATTTCTTGGGAGCCTAGAGCTTTCATTTATCGCAACTTCTTGGTGACCTTTTTTTTCAATTTTTTTATGATGATTTTATTGTCCAAGTCATGCCTATTTTGTTTTGTATGATTGGCTTTACTTATACCCATGAAACCTTTGTGATTGTGAATGCTAATTATGTGTGAACTCAGAGTATTTAAAATGGTGGATATTCGTAAACCCTGAATGGTGGATATTCGTGAACTCAGAGGACGAGAATCAAATTTGTAGTGGAACACTCGATCACATTGAATAATAACTAGTTTGGTTTAATATTTGGAGGGTTATTATTTCAATCAATTAGGCATCCAGTTGATGAATATATTATTTTAAGTGACAATTTACATATTCATTTTGGAACAAAGGTCTAGCCAAAATACTAAATTCATGAGAAAAATATGTCTCTTCAAATCTTAGAGGCAATTTTTCATAAACCCTCTGCCCTTCACTTTCAAATAAAGTAGCCTATGTCTCTGGTTCTTAGTTTTCTATGTTCGATTGGTATATTTTGATTCATCTTTATCTAGTTTGCACATGGTATTGAGTTGTTTTTCTCATTGTTTTTTGTTTTGTTATTTTAAGCCTGCATAATATATAATAAAACGATAAGTGGATTTAAGTTTTACAGTAAGAAATATTGACTTTGGATGCTATTATCAACAGTCCAAGGAGGAATGTGAATATTTGATAAAACTTGCCAAGCCTCACATGGTAAAGTCAACTGTTGTTGATAGCACAACTGGTGAGAGTAAAGATAGCAGGTTTGTGTTCCAACCTTCCCAGTTTCCACTTACGTTCTAATTGCGTATTATTCCAAATATGGAGGAGAAAGAATTTACACTTTGTGCTGCTTCTTCCTGTTTTTCTTTTTAGTTTGGTAATAAATTATAATTATCTCTTTTCTGCAGGGTGCGTACGAGTTCTGGGATGTTTTTGAAGAGAGGACGAGATAAAACTATCAGGGAAATTGAAAAAAGGATTGCAGAGTTCACATTTATTCCTGTAGGTATGGGAAATGAAGAATTTTTAATCTGAATGTTTGGTTGTTAGTTTTGTGATGGTCATTTGCTGGAGTTTTCTTGTGAAGGTTATTAGTGAAGGCCTTTAGGATCCTGCTCAAATTAAAATGTAAGAATTTTGTATTCAATGTTATATGCTCATTAGGTGTGTAGCTTTTTGTGATTCTGATCTGACTAATTTCCAGTTATGATTTGTGTTTTGACTTGCCTTTGTCAACTAGATTCTCATTTGCTATTCATGGCGTGTTTCTTACTCCAAAACTTGTAGGTTAAAATTATTTAATGATGGCAGTGAATTGAATATTATCTTCAAATTCACCTATGATTTGTTGAACTATTAATAGAGAAGTTGGTAGTAACAAACTGCCTAAACCACCTGTGACAGTCAACTACTATAATCAGTCTAGTCGCGCTATGTTTTCACCCCATTTATCTGCTGAACAGTTCCAAATCAGCAAAACAAGTGAATGGAAGTGCTGTGAGTGGTAACTGATTCCTTCAACACAATCCCTCTGGTGCAAATGTTCCATTCCATCATATAGGCTCAACTTACCATAAACCTCTTTTGAATATTCTCTCAGAATTTCTTGGGTAGCTTTATGATAAATGGAGGCAAGTGCTGCTCAGTTAAAACAATTAGCTTTATGACTGGATTTTATTTGGATTGCAGCATTTACTGGTTTTGCAATTGCTTGTGAATGAACAATGCTGTAACATAGCACAAAATAAATTGGGCTATGATTTTACTCATACTCAATGTCGTTAGAAGGAAACTTTGTAATGAGTTTGTCATGATAGACATCACCTTTAGGTTTCATGCTATTTTCTTAATGCATTTATGGTCATATTTTTACAATAGGGGTACTCTATCTCCGAGCTCATCACTAGATGATTGCTCAATGCTTATTCATACACCCATGTTGGACTGATGGTTCTTATTTCCAGTACTGTGGAAAACCTTTTGCCCTATGCTTAGCCTTATTTCTCTGGGGGTATTTTATTGATAGATTCTCTAGGAATTGGGTGTTTAACAAATTTCCGTTTCTCATTGACAGCTTCTCGATACTGTTACACCAGGACTGCTGCTTTTACGACTAGAGTGATTCTGCGATTTATACTGTGAAATTGGATGACACTTTTTTGGTCAAATACCTAGCATCAAAGTCCAATGTTCCTTTCTTATAGTACTTCTGAACAGACTCTTAGATAACATGTGTCTGCTTATTGTTGATATAGAAATTTTGGTTCTGTTGGACATGTCTACTGTTCTGTTTCTTTTTCCTTTCTACCACTTGTCTTTCTGCATGGCTTTTCTTTGCTTTCTGTATTTTCATTGTTTATGTTTTATTACTTAGTCCATCGTACAGCCCAATTGAGCTGACTCTACTACTTACAGAGCATGGAGAAGGACTGCAAGTTCTTCACTATGAAGTTGGGCAGAAATATGAACCTCATTATGACTACTTTCTTGATGAGTTCAACACTAAAAATGGGGGCCAACGGATAGCGACACTACTCATGTATTTGTAAGAGTTGTTCCTCCACTTCATTCTTTTTTGTTCACTTGGGACAATGTTGAAGCTTTGCACTAAAATGCATCTTATATAGAATTTTTTTTTTTTTTTCCTTGTAACTTCATTTTCTTTTGCCATTGATGCAGGTCAGATGTAGAAGAAGGGGGTGAGACTATCTTTCCTACAGCTAAGGGAAATTTTAGTGCTGTGCCGTGGTGGAATGAGTTGTCTGAATGTGGTAAAAAGGGCCTTTCTGTCAAGCCAAGGATGGGTGATGCGTTGCTTTTTTGGAGCATGAGGCCTGATGCCACATTAGACCCATCCAGTTTACATGGTTACTATTTCTAATCCTTTCAATTTCTGAACAAATAATACTAAGGTCCAATTATGATTTTACAGATTGGTTATTTCAGAAGAGTAGGTTTTGGCATTGTTTAGTACTATTGTGCAAATACATATCAAATGCTTCTGATTGGAAGTTGACTTAGCTTGTTTTGCTCTTTGTTTTCTTTTAGTTGTATAGCAAACCAGAATATTTTCTGAGTTAAAAGCCTTCTGTTATTGTTCGTAATGTGCACCAGGTGGTTGCCCTGTGATTAAAGGAAACAAGTGGTCGGCTACTAAGTGGATGCATGTTGAGGAATACACAGCCTAAGCCATATTTTTCAAGGTGGCTGTAATACATTTAGTTATCATTTTAGGCTTTTTATGATTTTTCATTATTGCTGTTACACTTTTCAAATTCTTGGTAGTTGTTGATAGTTGATTATTCTGCTTTGCTTTTGGATAAGTTAGATAAGATAGATGTAGACTGTCGTAAATTGCAACTTTCATTGCACAAGGGCATTCACTACAGAATTTTGCATGACAATATATGGTAAATTCTTATATGATAACTTGTGATTATGTTTTTGGCCTGGTTCTCAGTTTTTTTTTTTCACCATATGTTTTACCGGTATCATAAGTTCACGAATTAAGATATGCTAAACTCTACCTTCTTCCATTTCCACAGTGTCAACTTCCTTAATCTTGGCAAAAGACATTCTTAATATAGGTGATTGTTGGCATGGTTGCATGGAATGCGCCAGTAGGGTCATGCTAGGAAGCACAGACATGGCAAAAAGATATATTTTTATTTGTTATGTATATATATTGTTTTCATAAACAAGAAAAATTAATTTAAAAAAAAAAAAACAAACAAACAAACAAACACTAATTTAACATTAAAAAAATAAAATAAAAACTAAATTTAAATAAGTCAGAGATAAAGTGAACAAGTCACTTGGTGTCCAAATCTTCTTATGCCACGAGTCCCTTATTTCTGCAAGGCCCCGTTTGATTGTCCGGATTGTATATGAGGGTTTGAGGAGGATATGTAATACCTAAGGGTAAAGATAGAATATAATATGTTGTAGGATATAAGATGAATTATATATACTATAGGGTCACTTATATTTTGTTTGGTTAAGATAGGATATAGGATGAGATAAAAGGAGAGTAATTATTTTTGACCTTTGAATGAAAGATTTTATATATCCGACGGTGTATACAATACCATTGGGGCGAGGGGGGTGGGGTTTTGGGGGATATACTATCTGGACTCCCTATATCTGGAGCAACCAAACACGGAATGTAGGGAGACAAGAAAACATGAAAGACCCACCTCATATTATATTCAGTCACCCCTCATATCGGTCCCTTATATACCCCTAACAAATAGGACTAAGAGAAAATAAAAAATTAAATATTGAGGTGGTGAAAGGGGCTTGAACCTAAGACCATTGGTCTGGTAAACAATACTTTTACCACTTGAGCGATAGGCCCTACATGTTTTTAATTCAAAATCAAAATTTATATTTTATAGATTTAACAGCACAACCATCAGGTGGTTACACACCCACTAGTTTAAATAAGTCACAGATTAGATCTAATGAAGTCAGTCTTTAAACTTTACAACAGTGTTTAGATTTGTGTTGCATTGACATTGTTGATTGCTTTGATGAGTTATATATATATATATATATTTTTTTTTTAGGACTAAGAGAAAATAAAAAATTAAATATTGAGGTGGTGAAAGGGGCTTGAACCTAAGACCATTGGTCTGGTAAACAATACTTTTACCACTTGAGCGATAGGCCCTACATGTTTTTAATTCAAAATCAAAATTTATATTTTATAGATTTAACAGCACAACCATCAGGTGGTTACACACCCACTAGTTTAAATAAGTCACATATTAGATCTAATGAAGTCAGTCTTTCAACTTTACAACAGTGTTTAGATTTGTGTTGCATTGACATTGTTGATTGCTTTGATGAGTTATATATATATATATTTTTAAATTCAACCCTCATCTTTCCAAATATCATAATATGACCCCCAAAATTAGTTTTGAAAAATTAAAATTAGACCTTGTTTTGTCACTTCTATGCCCTCACCATGTCGCCTGAATTTATTTTTATTTATATTTAAACAATGGACACACCACGTGGTGTGTCCCTCTGTGTCTCCAACATGTCCGTGTCCCATACTTGTTTGATACGTCAAATGGTACAACACCTATTTTGAAGTGTCGGTGCTTCATAGGGGTTTGGGTAGCACTCATCTAAACCATGTATATGTAGAATTTGAAAAGACAGTGATCAAGATGTATGTTTCAAAATATTTTGGGGCTTGGTTATGTACTCTATGTTGATATTGAAAGCAATTTCCATGATTTAAAAAGATAGGTAGTTGAAGTAGCATCTGGCTGTGTAATATTGTTACTATTAGATGTTCCTCCTTTCCTCTCTCAGTTTTGCAGTCTTATTTGCCATGATTTTATATTTTAATCATTTCTGCTTAATTTTCAAAGGTTCACATGAGAGCAATTCAAAACTTGTATCCGAATATATTTGCTTGAGTTTTCAATGTATTATATATCTGTGGCCTTACTTTTGTCATATATTACTGGCAGGGTACATAAACATGTTTTATGCGGATCATTGGTGACTTGTGCGATGAGGCATTAGGATACCAACCCTTACTCCAACATAGTTCAGGTGCTTTCGCTAAAGCTGCTGCTGTAACTCTTCCTAACTTGGGATGTCTTGATGTGCTCTACATTTTAATGGGCTTCTATTTTTCTTTCAAATTGGCACTGAGGTTGGGTCTTGTTGTTAGTCCACTTTTAAGGAAAATAACTGGCTTGTTTTGGCCAAGAGGGAATATATTCTTCACTTTAAATTTATATATAGATTTGGTTACGGTAATAGAAAATAGGCAGCAGTTGATAGGTTGATAGCGAACTGTAACTTGAAAATAATATTACTTGGTGAAATACACAGGCCATTTTTCTGCAGCTTTGTGTAGTCTCCTTTCTTTGCAAGTTTATAATTTTGTTTATTACTTGCCGCCTGATCTGGCTTTTTCAGATTTTGTAATTCGCTTTTATTTTTTGAGGCCATTATTTTGGTTTTTGTAGTCTATATGTTTTTAACGTGTTGACACTCTCCATACCATTGTATATAACTTCAGTGTTTTTAGATGTTTTAGGTCAGGCTTAGTGGACTTTCTTCAAATTCAGTATGTTTTAATCTAAGATAGTGCTTGGTTCATTGGAATAGAATGATCATTCTATCAAGATGTGAAAAATTTAGGATCTTTCAGTTTAGTAATACCCAAAAATTTTGGTTAACAATTTGAAGGGATAATACAAAATGAGGCTGGACCAAAAAAATAATGGATGGAGATCAAGGGAATAGCTTGATGGATAATGTAGATAAAGTATTTTCTTGTTGGGCATGATGTTCAAGTTGAACTTTATTGTTGTAAGATGTAGTTTTTCATTCTTATACTATCTGAATACAAAGCTTAACTTTAAGCTTTACCTTATTTTGATCCTTTAGAGGGCTATCGTGGGGTTGTTGAATAAAGTCCCACTGTTTCTTTCAGTGGTATTGACCTGCAGTGAGATTGAGATGACTAGCGGTGATTTGGGTATGACTTATGTTTTAACTTTTTTATTTATTCTAAAAATGTGTATAAAAAAATAGAGATGTGATGTAATAGTAATAAATCAATAAATAACTTATTTAGGTCGTATACAAACCCTCTACCCTCTATTATATGGGACGTATGAAATAAAGCAATGGCAAGTTTAAAAAAAATAATAAATAAAGGATGAAAGATAATGTCAACATGCTTATTATGCTATATATTTAATGAAGGAATAAAGATCAATTCTAGATCATTGAGAATGTTGTCCAACCAAGAAATTTTAAAAACACCACGAAAAAGATCGATTTTGGAGCATTGAGAATGTTGTGCAAACAAGAAATTCCAAGAACATAAAAAATGAAGATTGACAATAATGTTCTACTTTGTACAACACGTTCGTATTATCAATCTCCTTTCATATGAGTAATAATATATGTTTATATTAAATTTTATATAAAATGACTTTTTTTTTTTTTGTTTTGATAGTCTAGATTAACTTGTGCGCTCCCAATTAATCACAGAATTGTGAGTTAACAATCAGGCTATGAGTCAATATCTGTAGTCAATATTTTCATGAGTTTTGAATTTTTGGGCTTTTTTTTTTTTTTTTTTTTTTTTTTTGGTTTGAAATCAGTAATGTTAATGGTGATTAAATTTAAATATTAAATATTGAATATTATCGGATTAGCATTAATGTATTAGTTTAAAAGTTTTTTTTTTTTTTTAAATCTTTGTGACAAAACATATTATAATAAATCAACTATTAGTAACGCATTCATTTCATGTCCAAAATTTAATATTTAAGTTTACCTAATGTATTTCTTAAAAAATGTGAATTCGATTGATTAACAATAAATAAATAAAAAAATCTAGCTAGCTTCTGTCCTTGGATTTGTGAAAACTTCTCTATCAAGTTATTAGGAAATGTCAACTTGTTCTATTAACAATAAAAAACCTGGCTTGCTTCTCTCGTTGGATTTGTGAATAATTTTTCACTCTGATATTATGTCTTTTAATATTTTATTTTAATATTTTATCCATTTATATATCTATATAATAAAGCAGAACGGTTTTTAAATCTTTAATATATTTTTGTCATATTAAGACATTTAGATGACTCAAATTTGTTCAAATTATAAAATAATGGTTGAGATATATTTTCTAAAAAATATACATATCCTACATGTATATTTTCTATTTTCCCGCTTCTTTCTTTTGCTTTTTTCTTTTCTCACCCATTCTTTCATGATCTTATGATCTCACCTTCCTCCCTCTTTTCTTTTAATTATTTTATTTTCTCCCATTTTTATTTTTCCCTCCATTTGTTTGTTTTTTATATATATTTTTTCTTCTTTTTGTCTTAAATATACATTTTATTTCAAGGATTGAGATTAATTAATTCCCAAATTCATTAAGGATCAAGATTTCTTTAATTTTCACTCACTCACCTTCTTTCCCCCTCCCCCCTCCCTTTTTTCACTCATGCAATCTCTCTTCATCTCCTGCCCACTTTCCTTCTTCTTTCCTTTTTATTTTTTATTTTTCCCCCTTTTCATTTTCCTTCATATTTCTTTATTTTTTATATTTTTTTCTTTTTTACTCACTTATTTTATTTACACTATGCCTTCAGGCACAAACATGTACTAGTACTAAGTGAAAGTTAGACTTAGTATCCAAACCTTTAATTACAGGTATGAGAATAATTATATCAAATTAAAAAATTATAGTCTAACAATGGATATCTACAAAACAAACACCACAAAAAAAGAGCACATATGGGTAGAAGCTGACGTATTTTGATCCTCTCTTTTACATATTTGTAGTTGAGAATTTTTATTACATAGCTAATAGTTATGAATAAAAATGTAAATTTATAATTAGTTTAAATTAAGAAAAGATCATTATACTTATTGTTCCAAAACAAACCTCAAACATCTTGAATAAGAATGTACATGATTGATCAACTGAACTAATTCAAATATAACTAGTTAAGAGAAAAAGTAAAATGATTATTAGCTCTTGGAGAATAATAATTCTACGCATACTAACAATCTTAATAAAAATACAAGAAGCTTAAATATGATTGGTCATGGAAAAAAAAATTACATTTAACCAATTGGACATGTATGTTTTTAATAAGGTTGTTAGTAAGAATTTAAGTAGATATAACATTAATTATGGATGAAAAATTAGCCAAAAAGATCTATTTAACAAACTTATTAGAGATGTTCTAGGATTTTTTTTTTTTTTTTTTTTTTTTTTTTTTTTTTTTTTTTTTAAGATGCCCTAACTTAACTAATATATATTTGTAAATTCAAAACCCAAGTTCATTTTCTTAAGGCCTCGTGATAAAATGTTATGGAGGGGATTGAGGGATTGCTAATTCTGTAGGATTCACGTGAAACTTACATTTTTTATTTTACTTTATTTTATTTTATTTTTCATATAACACGTTTGATTTGAAAAATGCCATGGTGGGTATTGCTAACCTCGATGATATTGGTAATCCCATGGTCATGGGATTATTAGTCAAATTATTTTATTTAATAATAAAATATAATCATTTCTTGTCCTTCCATTCTATATTTTCTCTTGACTTACACTTTTCTTAGAATTTGAAAAAAATGCAATAAATTATATAATTTTGATATAATTATATAGAATTTTCTTGAAATTCATATAATGTTTAGCTCTTTTTTCATTAATAATTTATTAGTTATATAGATTAAAAAAATTGATATTATGGTCTATTTACATGAAAATGTATATTTTACGTTATTTATTTTTGTGTTTTCGCATCATTTGCATTACTTTTAATTGACTTAATCTTATTAAAAAGAAGGTCAGTATAATTATATTAAAATTGTAGGACTTATTGTATTTTTTTCAAACCTCAAAAGAGGTCAGTTTAATTTACCCTTTTCTCTTATATATAGCCTAATCTCTTATATATTACTAATTTCAAATTGAGAAAATATCATCTTGGTGAAATATAGAAAAAAAAAAAATATATATATATATATATATCAAATTAGTGAAAACTTTACGACATTAAAAAGAGTAGTTCATATATACTTTTCTATGAAACTGCTGGGTAAGTTTGGCAATAGGTTATTTTAGCAAAAAAAATCAAAGTCACTATCAAAAAGTCAACTCTTCTCTCTATTTTTCTGTATTTCTTTTCGTAAAAAATTAAAAAATTAACTAAAATAAGTAATTCGCAAAACAACTTACATTCCTCTAAAACAATATTTGCTCTCTCAAATTTACAATGATTGAAATCCAACGTTCTCACTTCTCCCATCTAGGACTAAAATTTTTGGTCAAAGAAAAACAAGAAGAATTTTCCGATTTCATTACACACTTCTAAGTTAACAAGATATGAAAAGTATATTACCCCTTTAAAATCATGATTGAATTTTTTTCAAGTTCATATTTAATTTTATGACAATTATTCGGTCCATGGGTCCATTACAAGTCTTATTTCGATACTTTAAACTATTCATTTTGTATATCATCTGTGTAGGAAAAATAAGAAATATTACACAGCAAAAATAAACGGATTAGGGCATACCTTTTACGCTCAAACCGAATTTATGGATCATGTGGGTGAATCACGTGCTTCCATTGATGTCTTTGAATAATTCCCAATAGTGTAGTAGAACTACTGGAAAACTACCCACACTCTTCACAGTACAAAAGCTATTATGTGTTATTAGATCTAATGAAGTCAGTCTTTCAACTTTACAACAGTGTTTAGATTTGTGTTGCATTGACATTGTTGATTGCTTTGATGAGTTATATATATATATATTTTTAAATTCAACCCTCATCTTTCCAAATATCATAATATGACCCCCAAAATTAGTTTTGAAAAATTAAAATTAGACCTTGTTTTGTCACTTCTATGCCCTCACCATGTCGCCTGAATTTATTTTTATTTATATTTAAACAATGGACACACCACGTGGTGTGTCCCTCTGTGTCTCCAACATGTCCGTGTCCCATACTTGTTTGATACGTCAAATGGTACAACACCTATTTTGAAGTGTCGGTGCTTCATAGGGGTCTGGGTAGCACTCATCTAAACCATGTATATGTAGAATTTGAAAAGACAGTGATCAAGATGTATGTTTCAAAATATTTTGGGGCTTGGTTATGTACTCTATGTTGATATTGAAAGCAATTTCCATGATTTAAAAAGATAGGTAGTTGAAGTAGCATCTGGCTGTGTAATATTGTTACTATTAGATGTTCCTCCTTTCCTCTCTCAGTTTTGCAGTCTTATTTGCCATGATTTTATATTTTAATCATTTCTGCTTAATTTTCAAAGGTTCACATGAGAGCAATTCAAAACTTGTATCTGAATATATTTGCTTGAGTTTTCAATGTATTATATATCTGTGGCCTTACTTTTGTCATATATTACTGGCAGGGTACATAAACATGTTTTATGCGGACCATTGGTGGTTTGTGCGATGAGGCATTAGGATACCAACCCTTACTCCAACATAGTTCAGGTGCTTTCGCTAAAGCTGCTGCTGTAACTCTTCCTAACTTGGGATGTCTTGATGTGCTCTACATTTTAATGGGCTTCTATTTTTCTTTCAAACTGGCACTGAGGTTGGGTCTTGTTGTTAGTCCACTTTTAAGGAAAATAACTGGCTTGTTTTGGCCAAGAGGGAATATATTCTTCACTTTAAATTTATATATAGATTTGGTTACGGTAATAGAAAATAGGCAGCAGTTGATAGGTTGATAGCGAACTGTAACTTGAAAATAATATTACTTGGTGAAATACACAGGCCATTTTTCTGCAGCTTTGTGTAGTCTCCTTTCTTTGCAAGTTTATAATTTTGTTTATTACTTGCCGCCTGATCTGGCTTTTTCAGATTTTGTAATTCGCTTTTATTTTTTGAGGCCATTATTTTGGTTTTTGTAGTCTATATGTTTTTAACGTGTTGACACTCTCCATACCATTGTATATAACTTCAGTGTTTTTAGATGTTTTAGGTCAGGCTTAGTGGACTTTCTTCAAATTCAGTATGTTTTAATCTAAGATAGTGCTTGGTTCATTGGAATAGAATGATCATTCTATCAAGATGTGAAAAATTTAGGATCTTTCAGTTTAGTAATACCCAAAAATTTTGGTTAACAATTTGAAGGGATAATACAAAATGAGGCTGGACCAAAAAAATAATGGATGGAGATCAAGGGAATAGCTTGATGGATAATGTAGATGAAGTATTTTCTTGTTGGGCATGATGTTCAAGTTGAACTTTATTGTTGTAAGATGTAGTTTTTCATTCTTATACTATCTGAATACAAAACTGAACTTCAAGCTTTACCTTCTTTTGATCCTTTAGAGGGCTATCGTGGGGTTGTTGAATAAAGTCCCACTGTTTCTTTCAGTGGTATTGACCTGCAGTGAGATTGAGATGACTAGCGGTGATTTGGGTGTGACTTATGTTTTAACTTTTTTATTTATTCTAAAAATGTGTATAAAAAAATAGAGATGTGATGTAATAGTAATAAATCAATAAATAACTTATTTAGGTCGTACACAAGCCCTCTACCCTCTATTATATGGGACGTATGAATTAAAGCAATGGTAAGTTTAAAAAAAATAATAAATAAAGGATGAAAGATAATGTCAACATGCTTATTATGCTATATATTTAATGAAGGAATAAAGATCAATTCTAGATCATTGAGAATGTTGTCCAAACAAGAAATTTTAAAAACACCACGAAAAAGATCGATTTTGGAGTATTGAGAATGTTGTGCAAACAAGAAATTCCAAGAACATAAAAAATGAAGATTGACAATAATGTCCTACTTTGTACAACACGTTCGTATTATCAATCTCCTTTCATATGAGTAATAATATATGTTTATATTAAATTTTATATAAAATGACTTTTTTTTTTTTTTGATAACTTAATGTCTAGATTAACTTGTGCGCTCCCAATTAATCACAGAATTGTGAGTTAACAATCAGGCTATGAGTCAATATCTGTAGTCATATTTTCTATGAAGTTTTTGAATCTTTTTTTTTTTTTTTGGTTTGAAATCAGTAATGTTAATGGTGATTAAATTTAAATATTAAATATTGAATATTATCGGATTAGCATTAATGTATTAGTTTAAAAGTTTTTTTTTTTTTTAAATCTTTGTGACAAAACATATTATAATAAATCAACTATTAGTAACGCATTCATTTCATGTCCAAAATTTAATATTTAAATTTACCTAATGTTATTTCTTAAAAAATGTGAATTCGATTGATTAACAATAAATAAATAAAAAAATCGAGCTAGCTTATGTCCTTGGATTTGTGAAAACTTCTCTATCAAGTTATTAGGAAATGTCAACTTGTTCTATTAACAATAAAAAACCTGGCTTGCTTCTCTCGTTGGATTTGTGAATAATTTTTCACTCTGATATTATGTCTTTTAATATTTTATCCATTTATATATCTATTTAATAAAGCAGAACGGTTTTTGAATCTTTAATATATTTTTGTCATATTAAGACATTTAGATGACTCAGATTTGTTCAAATTATAAAATAATGGTTGAGATATATTTTCTAAAAAATATACATATCCTACATGTATATTTTCTACTTTCCTGCTTCTTTCTCTTACTTTTTTTCTTTTCTCACCCATTCTTTCATGATCTCATGATCTCACCTTCCTCCCTCTTTTCTTTTAATTATTTTGTTTTCTCCCCATTTTTATTTTTCCGTCCATTTGTTTGTTTTTTATATATATTTTTTTCTTCTTTTTGTCTTAAAGATATATTTTATTTTAAGGATTGAGATTAATTAATTCCCAAATTCATTAAGGGTCAAGATTTCTTTAATTTTCACTCACTCACCTTCTCTCCCCCCCTTTTCACTCATGCAATCTCTCTTCATCTCCTGCCCACTTTCCTTCTTCTTTCCTTTTTATTTTTTTTATTTTTTATTTTTCCCCCTTTTCATTTTCCTTCATATTTCTTTATTTTTTATATTTTTTTCTTTTTTACTCACTTATTTTATTTACACTATGCCTTTAGGCACAAACATGTACTAGTACTATTATATTAAGTGAAAGTTAGACTTAGTATCCAAACCTTTAATTACAGGTATGAGAATAATTATATCAAATTAAAAAATTATAGTCTACCAATGGATATCTACAAAACAAACACCACAAAAAAAGAGCACATATGGGTAGAAGCTGACGTATTTTGATCCTCTTTTTTACATATTTGTAGTTGAGAATTTTTATTACATATCTAATAGTTATGAATAAAAATGTAAATTTATAATTATTTTAAATTAAGAAAAGATCATTATACTTATTGTTCCAAAACAAACCTCAAACATCTTGAATAAGAATGTACATGATTGATCAACTGAACTAATTCAAATATAACTAGTTAAGAGAAAAAGTAAAATGATTATTAGCTCTTGGAGAATAATAATTCTACGCATACTAACAATCTTAATAAAAATACAAGAAGCTTAAATATGATTGGTCATGGAAAAAAAAAATTACATTTAACCATCAGTGATGTTTGGACATGTATGTTTTTAATAAGATTGTTAGTAAGAATTTAAGTAGATATAACATTACTCAGAATGGATGAAAAATTAGCCAAAAAGATCTATTTAACAAACTTATTAGAGATGCCCTAGGTTTTTTTTTTTTTTTTTTTTTTTTTTTTTTTTTTTTAAGATGCCCTAACTTAACTAATATATATTTGTAAATTCAAAACCCAAGTTCATTTTCTTAAGGCCTCGTGATAAAATGTTATGGAGGGGATTGAGGGATTGCTAATTCTGTAGGATTCACGTGAAACTTACATTTTTTATTTTACTTTATTTTATTTTATTTTTCATATAACACGTTTGATTTGAAAAATGCCATGGTGGGTATTGCTAACCTCGATGATATTGGTAATCCCATGGTCATGGGATTATTAGTCAAATTATTTTATTTAATAATAAAATATAATCATTTCTTGTCCTTCCATTCTATATTTTCTCTTGACTTACACTTTTCTTAAAATTTGAAAAAAATGCAATAAATTATATAATTTTGATATAATTATATAGAATTTTCTTGAAATTCATATAATGTTTAGCACTTTTTTCATTAATAATTTATTAGTTATATAGATTAAAAAAAATGATATTACGGTCTATTTACATGAAAATGTATATTTTACGTTATTTATTTTTGTGTTTTCACATCATTTGCGTTACTTTTAATTAACTTAATCTTATTAAAAAGAAGGTCAGTATAATTATATTAAAATTGTAGGACTTACTGTATTTTCAAAAGAGGTCAGTTTAATTTACCCTTTTCTCTTATATATAGCCTAATCTCTTATATATTACTAATTTCAAATTGAGAAAATATCATCTTGGCGAAATATAGAAAAATATATATATATATATATATATCAAATTATTGAAAACTTTACGACATTAAAAAGAGTAGTTCATATACTTTTCTATGAAATTGATGGGTAAGTTTGGCAATAGGTTATTTTAGTAAAAAAAATTAAAAAGTCACTATCAAAAAGTCAACTCTTCTCTCTATTTTTCTATATTTCTTTTCGTAAAAAATTAAAAAATTAACTAAAATAAGTAATTCGCAAAACAACTTACATTCCTCTAAAACAATATTTGCTCTTTCAAATTTAATCTTACAATGATTGAAATCCAACGTTCTCACTTCTCCCATGTAGGACGAAAATTTTTGGTCAAAGAAAAACAAGAAGAATTTTCCGATTTCATTACACACTTCTAAGTTAACAAGATATGAAAAGTATATTGCCCCTTTAAAATCATGATTGAATTTTTTTCAAGTTCATATTTAATTTTGTGACAATTATTCGGTCCATGGGTCCATTACAAGTCCTATTTTGATAATTTAAACTATTCATTTTGTATATCATCTGTGTAGGAAAAATAAGAAATATTACACAGCGAAAATAAACGGATTAAGACATACCTTTTACGCTCAAACCGAATTTATGGATCATGTGGGTGAATCACGTGCCTCCATTGATGTCTTTGAATAATTCCCAATAGTGTAGTAGAACTACTGGAAAACTACCCACACTATTCACAGTACAAAAGCAATTATGTGTTTCTATGAAGAAAGAAAGAATAAAGAGTCTAAGAAAGAGAGAAATACTGATTACCCATACGGTTAAATTCTTACTTTCTCAAATATAATATGTATATTATGTCAGAGAGTTATAACCACCCACAACTCTATCTCCTCAAGAGATGAGATAATGGGTTAATCACACTTATCCCTAAGAAAAGTTAATCAAAGTCCACTTTAACTGGGTCTCTCCTTGTGGGTCTTAGGTTATGTCACCATGGGCAACCCAATTGGGTATGGGTTCTAAACCTGACCCAATTTCTAATACCTCCCACTCGAACATACGCTGACATGACACCGCGCTTCCTTTATCTCAATCTATCCATTAAACACGATCATACTAGCCAGTAGACCATGCAACTGCTGAGAATACCTGCATGTGGGAGCTATACACTAGAAACTCAAAATAGCCAGCATAGAGACATCAACCCCCCTCCAAAAAAAAAAAAAAGCGTCTTATATACCCCAGACTCATCTAATTACACCGGTCCAAAAACATTTCTAATCCCTCAAAAAGAGCATAGAGCAATGTGAGTTGCCAGCAATGAATATGCAACGGAGGTGTAATACTAAATGATATTCCCTTCGCCCTTATGCCGTTTAGTTTTGGATTGACCGTTTTCCCAGTGGTGTCCCTTAAATTCAAATCA